ACAGCAGTTGTTACAGCCAGCCAAATCCTGTGAACGCTTTCCATTCCCATTCACTGAGCAACCCCCAAGATCAAGACCAGGCCACAAGTAACAGCATCTCTTGAACACTGAACACCAACTTCAGGAAGGTTCTCAGCGGGGGAGGAAGGAGTGAGAAAATAGCAGCGGAGTCACACACAACCCCAAAAAACCCTAGGATTGATATGACATAGAGAAGCTATTCTGACTGTTTCTTAAAAGCCTGAATGAAATAAGTAAATTTGCAACGGAGGTGGGAATTTTTTTAATCAGGCAAAGATGTGTGCATAGGTAAATGGGAGGATGATATTAATGTTGTTTTGGAAAAAAGATTTTCATTGAAATATTAACATCACTGTCCACACTGAGGAGATTATACTGTAAAATGAGATTTTTTGTATAATATTGCTTCATGTCTTAGAGAGGAGAAAGCCTGCTAAGTATCCTCATTTTTTCAACGTCACTGTTTTTTGTAAGATGGTTAGACATGCCATCATTAATATCACAAGAGGATTCACGTTTGTTTATTCTAAAATGAATGTAAATTGGACTTCATACCCAATACCTTAAAGCCGTGCTGAAACACAAGGAAGTCTATTACCTTTATACGATGTACTTTAGGATATTTTTCTCCCCACTCCAGCAGACTGACAGTTTATAACGCAGCGGTGCAACTGCCTCATTTGCACATTTACAGTGCTTGATAAGGGGTTGAAATGTTTGATTCCCCAGAGGTCCTCCTTGTTCTTTCCCCAACAGAAAATGTCTCCCTATATTTCAATACAGCTGTGACAAATTTTTCTAAATAATGGTTATCTAGCCTTTAGATAATGCCTTTTCATGCAGAAGAATGTAAAAACACTTTACACAGGGCTCATGCAAATCATTTCACTACACGCCAGGCAGCACAGAGCAGAGCCTGGAATCAGAAGCGGAGCAGCCTGTTCCACATGGCACCTCCTGCCCATGGTCCTGGGACCCGACTCATCCCTATGCACCATTTCTTGCATCAAACACATCCTAAATTACAGTAAAAAAATCAAGACAGAATTGTTGAAACCCCTCAAAGTTTCCCTAGGCCATACTGGACAGACATCCAACTGCATTCAAATATACTGCCAAAAATCCATATTGCTTTTGCTCAGGAAAGGAGGTGACACCTTTGACCACCAAGTCACGCTGCTTTTATGTCAATAGCACTGTCTAAACCCTGGCTTTTAACAGCAGCCATATCACCTATCCCCATTTATAGCATTAATGTGGATTGTGCCACAGCACATTTGTTATAAAATTCTTCAAGAATAATCACAATAAAACCAAGACAAGCACTAGCGTTGGGGTATTTTTTAAAGAACAGATTTGATTGAAAGGTAAAGATTAGCTTTAAATTCCTCCACCCCTTCTTTTATTTGAATATGAAAAGGAGGTGTAATACAGATGCTTACCTTGATATGACATTAAAAGACAGTTTGGGTCAATGTAATTACTGTAGAACAGCAGAATTTTTTTAAAAATCCTTAAATATTTGTACTTACTGATTTTACCCTTCAGATGCATTTTAGTATTCTGGGGTAATCAGCTAAGTCCAAACCACAGATGCAGAAGTACTACTAGACAATCACTCCCTTAATGCATATACTATGCATACAGTATCATAGGTTAGCCCCCCCAAAAAAACCCAAGAAAAAATGTATTTCTGCAACAACATTTTAGAAGTAACCATGTGAATCAAAGTGACCCCCCAGAAAAGCCTCTTTGCACTTGCCAGCAGGTTTATGGACATGTTGTAAATGTCAGACTACACCATTTTTAATAATAAAAAAAGACACTATAATACTGTTTCCTTGTAACTGGGACAGAAAATCATTTGGTAAGAATAAGAACATTTATTGGTTTTGACATAAAAATTTCTTGCTGTGAGGTGGAAACACTGTACTCCAAATACCGGAAGAAACGTGAAATCTCAAGGGTTATGTTCAGTAACTCTTGGTTCAAAAGCAGATGCGGCAGGTGCATTATTTAAGAGCTTGTCAGAGATGATCTTCTGCAGCACGCTACTCCGGGATTCGTCTCCTGCTATGCCTGGGAAGGGGATTCTCATATATGGCAGAACTGGCTGGCTGCACATCAAGCCCATAATGACCAACCCTCTTCAATACCACTGTGGTCACTACAAAATGTTAATATCAGAAAAGGTCTTCAGTACTGAATGCAACTACCCCTCCCATATACCCCACAAAAGAGCAGTTCTTTGGCTGAGCTCTTCGGAGTACATTTGCTCTGAAAAATTCAAAGCAACATTTTTCTCAGTAGCCATACTTGATGTTCTAAAGCGTATTTTGTATTGCTGTATTACGTGCTAATTTGGTGCCACAAAGACATAGTATATCCAATGCAAATGAGAAACAATTGCAGCCCAAGCTACTGCTTTGAATTTCCTGACTCCTGAACACACAAAAACTTGAGCATATTTTATTTAACGATTTTTTTTTTTTGTTTTCATTCTTTCAGAGCATAAATCCTCGAGTAGAAGCTAGTCACATCAGGATTTCAGTAGGGATTTTTTTTTTCTTTTCATTCTTTCAGAGCATAAATCCTCGAGTAGAAGCTAGTCACATCAGGATTTCAGTAGGGATGACCACAAATAAATGTAAGAGGCTCAAAGGACCAAACTGTTAAAAACAAATCAAAGCAAAACAAAAAAAAAAACAATCCAAATGGGTTGATTGGGTCCTCTATGCCTATAGCAGCGAGCTAGATTTTCAGCTGTGTAAGCCATGGGACCATTGCTGTCTTCACCACAAACGAGCTCATTTGTGCAAAGGATCTGACCTGTGTTTCTGTAGAAGATACTCCAGACATACGTAGACCTGTATAGCTACCTTCCCGTTTCTCTCATGCAGCCATCAACGCTTCAGGAAGAAGGAATTTCCTATGTGTTTCAGGTGCCAGAATGAAAACAAACACAAAATCCAATTTGAACTATTCCAGTACAGACTTAAAAAATCCCTCATACAGGAAAATCACAGCCGGTAAAATATATCTTTTTTTTTCTTTTTTACGTAACTGAGTAGCTTAAAAAGAAATAGGAGAGAAAAATCACTTTCAGCTAAGAACAAGCAGGAGAAATATAATTTAAAATTGCATATTTTTAGAAAATACTATTTTGATGGAAATGCTCTCCTTAAACATGTCTATACTGGCCAGTCAGAAAGGATAGAAAGATTAGAAAGAAATGGCTTTCCTAATGTATCATTGCACTAAACAACATTTGAAAGGGGAAGAAAAATACAGAGAAAGCAATGATTGTACCTCGAATATGGAGTATGCTGGCCACATGTTTGTGACAAAAAAAATCTCTAACAAAACATTTTGCACAAAATTGTGCTCTGCAGTGGTGAGAGAAACTAAAGAATGAAAAAGGAAGGTGATCCTATGTTTGCTTAACTGAAAAACAGCAAGTAGCTCCGTACCATCTCTCACTTGCACTGAACCCTGAAGGGGAAAAAATTAGGATGATTACACATTTAAATGCAGTAATCCTGGATTAACGTATTTAATTCTTAGACTGTTTACAAGCCATCAATACAAACATTATTCAGCAGATATATGTCATGTTGCTTTAAAAGTATACTACTTTGCTGTCAAAACTAGCTCTGGTACAAATTCAGGAGTATGCAATGTTTTATTCTTTTTAAAGGAAAGCTTTATCTTAGGGGTTTTAAGTAATCTCCTATGTCTGAAATGGAGAAATGGAAAAATGTAACATCCTCTGCTTACATTAAGTAGGTGGTTTCTCTTTTGTTAGCAAATGGAGTACTCCCCAGCCTTTCAAATTTTTTAATACCTTTGAAAATAAAAGGTGTCTCCAATATAATAACAGATAAATTATATCTTCTCAACAGGAGTAACAATTAACAAAAAACATCTGTACCATGTTTACCTTTATGAAGCATTACTGTACCAAGTAGCACAGAACCTCAATACAAATGAAAACTTACATTATTCTGGGGGACATCTGGAACACTCTTCACCGTTAACTCTAAGGAAACTGGTAGCTCTGAGAAAAACTTGCCTCTACACTCTCCTCCATCAAGTATTACCCAGTCACTCACAGCACAGGTAAATGACCTCATCGGCTTAAGCCTTGTTTCAGCATTTCAAAAAAACAAAAAAATTTCTCAGCCTGGGTTCACGTACCGGCAGTCACCACGGGCTGGCACGTCACAGCAGGACAGGCTTACATGCCTGGGAATTTCCAACACACACAATGTCGCTTTTCAGAAATGGGTTACGGTAGAAAGATTTAATTCCAATTTTCTCTTGGATTTTTTCCATTTCCACTCCTTCTGTTACGAACAGCACAACTCCTCCCACCCACACCCCCCCAACAGTGTATAAATTAATTTCCCCTAGTTCACTTTAACCTGGGTCTTAACTCAGTGGAAGCTGGGTTAACTTCTTGATCTAAAACCAACCGTAGTCAAGAGAAGCCTTTCCACAGGCATGAACAGGTTTTAGCTATGGACAGGGAAACCCAGGTGTGACGCTGCAGTGTAACACCACTCCCCATGTCCTGCTGAGCTCCGCATACTTCAGCAGGTGCAGGAGCAGGAATCGTCCCCAATTTCACTCTCTCCAAGGCATGGGATAACGTAAAGCTTTGTATCAGACAGGAAACCACACAAACGGGAGGTGGCAAACTCCTAGGAGACATGGGCAAAGTCTTGGGGCTGATGCCTCCAAGAGTTCAGAATCACTGCAGTCAGCGAACTTGGGAAACTGTAAATTCATTGATTTTGCTAGCTTGGAGAAATTTTGTGAAACTCTACATGGTCTCTCAGTGACAAAACCGCAAAGTATCTGTAGTGGCATGCTCTGCGACTGAATGCCTGCTGTCCTTACAGACAGCATTCTGCACACATAACTGAGATTGTCACACGCAAAAAGAATGAGGGAGGGGAAAAAAAAAATAGAAAAACGCACCTTAGAAGTTACGTATGTTTAATGCTTAAAAGTCTGAATGCACAAACAATAATCTACCATTATAGAAGTACTGGTGGTCAATACAATGCATTAGAACTATGTACAATGACACAGTTTAGTATCAAAATCTTTCTACAATGTAGAATATTACGAAACCGTTAATGACATCAAACACTAAGCACTTAAGACACCATTTTTTGCTACCACATTTGGAACTTCAATGAACAGTCCATTTTAACTTGCAGCATCAATCCATTTCTAGTATGAAATTAAGTAATTTTCTACTTATACAATAAGATTTATCTACACGGGTCTTTTGATTTTGATCCATAGCAGCAAAGGCACTGTACATCAGCAGATCCACAGACTTAAAGATTTTTTTTTAAAGCATTCAAAAAAAAAGTCACAGATCATAGTTTAACAGCAACAACAACAACATAAAAAGATAACACGTTGTCTCTGGCACAATGGCTCAGTCTGCGTCCGTTTTAGGGACATCCAATCAAGACTTGGATTGAACTGCTGGCGAACAAAGCAAGTCCTTATCCCAGTGAGAATCCATTCCTTTTTGTATGTCGGAATGAGTACTCTTGTAAATCCTACCTCGGAGGTCATTGCTTTTGTAGTTTGTATATTGGTAGGCATCCATTCTTATTTCAGTGCAGTTTCCAAAGAACATATCAAATATTTTTCATAATCTCTTGTAATTGAAAAATTGCCCAAAGACACATATCCCCATTTTCAAGGAAACATTGCAAAAGTTTCCAGAAGTAACAAAGGTGATTCTTTGAGGCAACTTATTGTACTCTCTACAATATAACAAAGAGAGGTGTTTATATTAAAAAACCTAGCTTGACACCAAAATGCTTTATGTTTATCAACAGAAAAGCATTGAGAACAAATCTGTACACAAGATGCTATATTAACATTGCAAATATATAAATTAGCACATTCTTACTTAAAGTGAATTTAATTTAGATGTGAACTGAATTTGCCATTCATCACAGGCATGTAGATTACTGGCTACAGTTTGCAATTTCCTAAGTTTCCAAGACTGTCTAAAATAGTTAAGATACAGCATCTTCCCACCAAATAATTATACTGTAATAACACTTAGAGGTCTCATCCAAGAACAGGACTAAAAAATATAACAAAGTTTTTTTGTTTTTTTTTTTAAATAGAAAATTAAAGGCCGAACATCCTTCTCCAAGATCCCCAATTCATCCACCTGCAAAAACACAAAGTATACAATGCACCTTTCAAACTAAAGCCGGGCCAGACAGCTTTATTTAGTCAGTTCATTGTTAGAAAGCCTTCTTTAAACAAAATAAATACATTACAGCTATAATACATAATTAAAGAGTCAAGTTCACTGTTAAGTATGCTTATTCCATCTTCTTCCAAGCAGATATCTGACAATTTGGTATCACAAGTTCTTAATGAGCATTCACAAATCAATAGCAAGTTAAGAAGGTAAAAATAAATTCCACAACTGTGATGAGCATTTAAGTTCTCAGTTTAGAAAGAAAAAAAAAGGAATATACAGCAAAGTGCTAGGAGAAGGAGTTCTGTCTGCATTCAGATTTGTCTCTAATAAATAACTTCGTAGACTGTAGCTTTCTTGTCCCCAGAGCCAGTGACAATGTATTTGTCATCCACAGAGATATCACAGCTAAGCACAGATGAGGATTCTTTGGACTACAAGAAAGAGAAAAAAAAAAAAAAAGAAAACAGAAAATTACGTCTTTCCAATCCTTCAGTTCAGAAGGGCTTGAAGATTAATGGAAGAGTTTATAGAGAGGGAATACACCGAAAGCTCATTTAAATATCAGTACTGTAGCGGCAGCTTTTGTTACAAGAATGTTTCTCCAAACTTGTTCCACCTAAAGCTCTATGGCAACAAAAAACAGCAGCAGAAAGGGAAGTGAATGTTATGGACCTAGAGATAACCTATCAATCAAACAAAAAGAAGCAGTCCTTTCTATACACTTTACAAGCAATAAGCATTTATTAATATTTTATACATTAGCTTTTGCATAAAAATGAATGAAAAGCCATCTTCTTCCTCTTCCCTCCCTTTTTTGTTGCAAACCAGAAATCTGTATGGAGAAGCACTACAAAGGCCTAGCCACCCACAGGTATGAAACAAGGAGACTCCACAGAAGTAACTGTATCTCCTCTCACTATTTCCCCAACACAGAAGACAAAAGCCTTGCACAAAGGTATTTACATTATCAGGGAGGATGCAAATATGAAAAGATACTGTGGTGGAATAGGATGCGCAACAGGGTACAGCAGGTGAATGGGAGACAGGATGCACCAGGATGCAGTAGCTCTGTCTCTCCCAGCTTTTCTGTCTCTTCTGAGATGATGTGTATGTATTGTCACATTTTACTTGCTGTTTTAGTGCATGTTTTCTTTACATAACATACGTCTACATTCTTTTCTGCCTGTCACTGCAAGAGCTAAACAATTCCCAGTCATGCTAAGTTTTTGCCAAGAAACCTCCGCTGCACTGCACAGGAAGTTTCTTTCTCTACCCCTCATTAAGAAAGCTGCACTGGGGTTTTAACATCACTTTAAAGGGAAATGTGTTCTTGTTAGGACGATTTGGGCTTTCTGTGGGAAGTGGTTCCAGAGCTGAGTAGCCTCCACTAAGAAAACTGAGACCTCAGCTTTCTCATGTCAAGGCAAAACGCGTCCACAGAGGCGGAGACATGGCAGGTATCAGTACAGGTGAGACCTGACCATTTAAACCGGAACTCCAGTTAACTTAATTCAAAAAATTCCCAGCCTAGAGGTACCTGTAGGTGAAGGAAGAGGAGGACATGCCAAAAATCCCACTTTTCTTTAATGGCACTAAAATTGGGCACAGAGGGATTCAAGACTATAGAAAGGTTACAACTTCAAGTTACACTCCATGGGGCTCCTCCGTAAGGATACAGTCTTCAGCTCAGGAATCTGCCTGTCCAATCCACCGACTTTATGCATCTCATCCAAGAAAAATACACGTGTTGCATATGACTTTCGCTGTTTTAGCTACATTTTGGACCTTCAGTGAATGCTCACCTAACGACATGACTTGGGTACTGCATTACAGCAATACACACAAGAAGATGAGAAAGAAGGGTATTAAAAACAATTTTGGATTAAAAGGCTACTTTATTGTAAGAGCTAAATTACCAAATGTTAGAAAGGACAAAAGCGTATCTCTCTTTAATTACAGACAAAGTCTTAAAGGAACATAGTAATTAGCCAAGAATTTCCATGTAAAACTCCTTAAGCTAATGACAGACCCTGAGATGTGCAGCTCTACTGCACTGTAATGTATCTGGAAAAAAGCTTTTAGGAGATTATTACCTGGAATATACTGGCTCCATAAGGTGTTCTCCAGGCATTAAGAAGATTATCTTTTCCAGTGCTTACAAACCATTTGCCTGCAACAGATTGTTTAAATGTTATTGTTGCATTTTGTTTTCAAGGAATGCACCCCAAGAAACAGATTAATCATAAAAACAATGCACTCGCACATTAATGGAAAACATAGCCAAAGAACAGTCACATTTTCGTCTGGTTGCACTACAATGTTTGATCATAACATAAGCAATTCACACAAAAAAGTCACATAGAATTTTTTAAATAATTTTAATACTTAAATTTAACATCTGATTTTTAACTATACCCCTACTTTCATTTAAAGGTAGTCTTGAACGAATTTCTCAGAAGGGAAAACACTGGCATAGAAAGATTTGCTTACCACAATGAGCAAATTTGAGTGACAACACACAGCTCTCATGAAGATGCAGCTGATACTTGTCCGGCTTAGTAACATGCAGCACCTCGACGTTACTGTTCTCCATTCCTACTGCCAACCACTCACCGGTTGGACAATAACCCAGTGAGAAGATCTGGAATTAGCACAGCACATGCTTCAATCAGTAAAGGAATGAGCTTGAAATATTCAAAACCGACTCTTGCTACACTGGTAATGCTATGCAAAAACACATTTTGGTCTACTACAGATTTAAAAACATGATAATCCAATTGCTATAGTAATCAAGATAAATTAGTTCATGCAAACAAAGCTCAGTTAAAACTGTAATAGTAATGCACTGAATCAAGCTATGAAAGTTAATGTCCTAGCTTATCTGACAGCATTTAAAAATATTTTCATAAAATATTTTTGAACAAGAATCTACAGAAACGGGAACAGATTGCACATAGGAACACTTTAATCTGGCCATTCTTTTATAAAAAGGATTCTCCACTACTCTCATGGGAGAAGTACTAATCTGTCAAATAGTCATATTCCAGAAAGATGTTTACCTGCCACATCTCAAAAAAAAAAAAAAAAAAAAAAAAAAA